TGTTCCTGCCGCCGTGTGGCGTCCTTCCTGGCTTCTTGCTCTGTCCGTCCGGCTGGTGACTCCGTCAGGACTGTTTCTGTAGCTCATCTTCTTTCAGATAAAGCCGCCCCGTGTGCCGGGGCCGTCGTGTTATCTTGGGCTTCCGAGCGCACGGAAGGCACTTTCTGAAGCACCAAACAGAAGTAAATGGCACTTGGCTCTTTAAGGAGCATATTTTCTTTCTTTCTTTTTTTTTTTAAATTTATTTGACACAGAGAGAGAGAGCGAGAGAGGGAACTCAAGTAGGGGGGGTAGGAGAGGGAGAAGCAGGCTTTCCACGGAGCAGGGAGCCCGATGTGGGGCTCGATCCCAGGACCCTGAGATCATGACCTGAGCCAAAGGCAGACGCTCAACCAACTGAGCCACCCAGGTGCCCCAAGGAGCATATTTTCTAATGGGAGGAACTGATTCAGGAAACTGGGGCTCCTGAATTTCGCAGACGAAAGACGTTGTTGCAACTTGTGTGAATTTGTCTGAATTCAGATGAATCCTGATGTGTTTTCCAGCCTCCTCTCTTGGACGAGAAGGGAGAGGGCGGTGAGGGCTGGATGGGGGTCTGGGGGCCGCCCTGCCCTGGGGAGCTTCTGGGGACCCCTGGTGTCGTGCCGTTAACTGGATGGCGTGGGGGCCAGGGTGAGGGAAACACTGGAAATCCGGGCCGGGAAGGAGCCTCGACTCTGTGGGAATGGAAGCGAATGTGTGCGGTAGCGTCGGGCTCCGGGAACAGCACCAAACACGCACAGCGTCTGTGGCTCGATGTAAAAAACTAGAATCTCTGCAGCTCGCTCATGTGTAATGGGGATGGAGACTTTTAGAAACACCCTCAAGTCCAATGTGGACAAGAGTGAGCTCGCAGCCGCCCTCACCTCCACGCCCCGCCGCCCTCCGCCTCCTGGGGTTTGCTCTGCGCTGCACGCGGGGTCCCGTCCGGCCCTGTTGGCGCCTTTTCCGCCGAGAACTTCAGGACTCGATGCCACGCGGGGGAGGACTTGAAAACGCTCTCGGTTGCAGGTAGAGGCGGGCTGTTCTGATGGCAGCCCCCGTGTGACGTCCCAGCAGCGTCCTCCCCCACGGCGCCGGCTCACGTCCGGACCGGGAGCTCCAGCGGAGGGTCCCAAGTCCTCAGGACAGAGGATGTGGGATGGACGCAGTTGTGAATGCAGCTCCCTCTGGAGGGTCCCAGAATCCACACGGGCAGTGGAAGGTCGGGGAAGCTCGTTTTCAGAGTTGTGCGAGCCCCACGTTCCCGCGGGCATCTCTGACCCTGGTCCCGGGGTGGCCGTGGCGCGTGCTGACCTCCGGCCACGCTCAGCTGCAGGTGCAGGGAAGAGGCAGGTGGGGGGGGGGGTTGGGCTGTCACCTGAAGATAAAAACAAGCTCATGCCGGCATCACATGGGCGTCTACATCGTGTGGTCAGGACGTGTCCCTCGAAGGGACAGACCAGAGTCCAGCCACGTCCAGCTCAAAGGGGCCTCATGAGCCTGGAAGGGCCCGGACAGGAGGGGGTTCCGGCAGCATTTGGACAGGGGAGGCAGGTGGAGGGCCTGCATCAGGCCTTAGGGGTGTCCTCGGATGATCTGATTGACACCTTGAAGGAGGGCACCTGTGGTCCCGACGCAGCCTGGGGTGAATGGTGAGCGCGGCACGCGGGCGTGTCCTCAGTTTCCCCACGCTGCCCACCTGTCCAGGGCCCTGCCTGCGGGTGGCGAGCCCCTGCTCCACTGGGTCACAGGCCTCACCCCTCCCCCTGACCTTTTGCCCTCCACCCTCTTTCTGGAGGTGATTCCTCAGCTATCTCCTCTGCGGGGCCCTGCCCCGGCAGCCGGGGCCTGTGTGAGCGTCCGTTGGGAGGGGCTGCATTCACCTGCCCTGCTCACAAAGATAAGACACATCCACACACACCAGGATTTTGAGGCTGATTGAAGGGGTTCCTCATCAGTCCCCCAACATGACTTCCATTTTTCTTGCTTTCCTCCAAGGTGGGGCATCTCAGCCATTTGGAGCCCTGGCCCCTGGCTTTGTGGTGAGATGAGCTGGGTTGGGGGCGAGTGTGGCCGGCTGACGTCCCGGGGCACCTGCTCCCTATGCTGGGCATGGGGCCTCTGAGTCCTTCCACGGCTCTACTGAGGGTCAGAATTGAGGACCGTGGAGCCTTCTGTGTGTTTGCTTGGGGCAGGGACAGGCAAATTCTCCCTGCCTCGTTTGTAGGAAAAACTATATACTTGGATGAAAAGCAAACGGATTTCTAAGCCAGGAACATTTACGGGTTGTTATCTGATAGATTTTCCTCCTCTCCTGAAAAGCAGAAGCTTTTCTGTACCTTGATTATGAACAGTAGGCAATAAATACTTGATGAGTCCCATTGGCGTCTCCCCAGCGGTTGGGTTGTCTGAGAAGTCTCTGACCCCGCAGAAGGTGCTCCGCGGGCCCGTGTGACACCCAAGGGAGGTGTGTCTGGGGCAGTCAGGAGGCCGAAGCGGGGCCAGCTCTCTGCGGGAAGGCCCTCTCTCTATCGACCGCTGGGCCTCGGCTTCGGGGCACAGGAGGGGTTCAGATGACAGGACCTCCACACCCCGCCTCATTTCCTAGTCCCCACACTTGCGTCTACGCCTCCCACATTTCCCCGGGAAATCGGGCCATGACACGATGACTCACCTTCCTCTTTCTGGCAGGGCTACTCCCCGTGTGTTCACAAATCATTCTCCTGGGAACGTTCTAGGCCTCCGTTCTGGAGACGGGCTGAGGGCGTCTGTTCCAGTTGGGCTGCACATCCAGACATGAGGAGGCGGTCTGCTGTTCCCACGCCGGGAGGGGCTCCGGGGGCCAGGGCAGGAGCTTCCCTCCTGGGGTGTGACCTTGGCTTCAGACCCCGGGGAGTGCAGTCTGCTCCTCCACCCCTCTGACCACACACGTGCTGGGCTCGCTGCCGTCGGGGCTGATTTTTAAATCCCCTCGAATGTGGATCTGGAGTCAGAGGGAGGGGACTGGGAGAGGCCCCTTCTGCCAGAAGGGAGGCAAGCCGGCTCCACACTGCGGGCAGTGGGGGAGGACATCGCTTCTTCCTTGGGGCCTCAGCACCCCGGCCCTGCGTGAGCCTGGCTTCGGGCTGGCGTCCACCTGCCTTTCCGTGGCACAGGGACACACAAGTGCACCTGCCGTGAACAGTGACCCCTGATGCTGTCCTGGGGGGCAGGCCCAGGGCCGCTCAGGGCCAAGGACACCTGGGTGATTCCGGGTGGGGGCCAGCACCTGGTCTTTATCTGCACTTTGGGTTTTGTGGGTTTGTGTGTTGTGGGGCCCCTGCTGATGACCTTCTGTGTCCCCAAGCAGCTGCAGGATGAGGTTCTCCATGTCTGAGCATGATGCTCACAGCAGCTGGGACATTGAGGGGACGAGGGGGGCAAGTGGCTCTCAAATTTAAGGGCTTGTGGAAACCCAGGCGGCTGGCTCCCACCCCAGTTTCTGCCCGTGGTGGGGCGCTAGGATTGGCCGTGACAGGCTCCTGGGTGATGCACTTGGAAAACCACCCTCTGTGGTGACCCAGGTGGCACCAGGGACGTGGTTGGGCATCTCGGAAAGAGTCTGGGAACAGAGTAAGGATACATGGAATTGTGCTGCATGGCCCCTCCAGCTTCTCTTAGGGTTTGAGGTTCAGCTCATCTCCCTGAGCACCAGTCCCTCTGCCCTGATGCGGCCTGTGCTCAGAGAGAGGACAGCCTGTTGATTTCTGACGCACGTTCTCCTGCAGCCTTGTGCAGTGGGCCGTGCTGCGGTGGATGTCCCTGCAGGTGCTCTTGGAAATTGGGGATCACGCCTGCCGGCGTGTAGGGTGGTGCTTCCCCTGTGACTCACGCAGTGAGTACTTCCACGTGCTCTGTGTTTTGCCAAGATATCAGGAATAAACGGCGTTAATATTGTGTTGTGCACTCGGGGACCATCAGCCACACTTCTAGCGTGAAGCAGAGGACGGTGTTTGCGGTGGGTCCAGAGGGTGCCCCTCAGGGCTGCGGGCACGTACCAGCGCCGGGAAAGAGGAGCTTCCACGTCTGGAGCTGGGGTGCCGGGGGGGCCGTCCCATTGCCCCCCTGCGCTGCAGAAGTCTGACTCACACCCTGGCCCACGCAGCCCCGAGATGGAGGTGGGGCGGGGTCTCGTGGGCGGATGAGACGATGGCGGGAGCGGCGGGCAGCCACAGAAGACGTCCTGACTTAGTGACTGGGCGTCTGTGGGACAGCGTGTGTCCAGGAGCAGCCCAGCTTCCCGAGCTTCCTGCTGCGGCTCCTGGCGGACCCCCTGCGATCTGCTTTGGGCAGAGCAGCTGTGGCCAAGTGCCCCGGCTGGCGTCCCGGAGAAGTCCAGGGGCTGGAGTGTTCTCTCTTCGGGGAGAACGAGAGTCCTAGGAACAAGGTCGTGGGTTGATCTGGTGGCTTGTTCGTTCCTTTGTCCTCTCAGCCCGTCTGTAGTGAGTGCCTGCTGTGTGCCTTCCCTGGCCAGGCCCTGGGGGTCCTTCCCGGCGGGGAGGGGGACAGCAACCAAACAAATACATGAATATGAAACTTGCTGCGTGGTGAGCGACGCTGGGAAGAAAATAAACAAGAGGAAGGGGTGGGGCTGCATGGGTTGGTGCGTTTGAATGGGCAGGAAGGTCCCTCCGGGAGTAGCATGTAGCACAGACCCACAGTAAATGGGGGGGGGGGCATCCTCAAGGGAGGACACAGCAAGTGCAAAGGCCCTGAGGTAAGAGCCCTGGCTTCTGGGCTGATGTGGGCGAAGGAGAGGGGGGCGTGGGGTGGGCCGGATGCCGTGGCCCTCTGTGACCACGACAGGGTTGAGATGGAGTCAGTGGCCTCTAGCGGCACTCCCCCAAGGTCCCGGGGGCTGGGGGCGGGGCGTCGAGCTTGGTGTCAGGAGCCTGGCTTCTCCGGTGGCCTCACGAAGCATACTCGCCCTTTCATTTCAGTCCCACAGGCAGCGCAGCGAGGCCACCAACAACAGCAACCTGGTGTTCCTGTACTGTGCCTTCCTGGACTTCAGGTACGCTTGCGGGGGGCCCGGGGCGGGGACAGGCGGGGAGGGGAGCAGGTGCGGTGGGCGCACGGTGCCCAGGGCCAGGCCCCGCCACACGCCGGTCCGGTTAGGATCCGGCCACCCTTCTGGAGGCAACAGGGTTGCACTGCCCGTAAATGCTGGCAACGACCTGGGACCCGGGCAAGAGCCGGAGGAGGTGCAGGCCGGGTTTTCTCAGAGGCCACATTAGCACCTAGCAGGACTCAGCCCTTAAAGCCCGGCAGCTTCAAAACACTCACCTGGTCCGCCAAGGCACCACCGGGGCCCTGGCTGTGCTGGGGATCGGTGCCGCGCTGGGGAGGTGGCCGGGAGGGGCTGGGCGAGCGGCTCTTTCCTGGCGGGCGTGTGGGCCTCTCAGGATTCATGGCCCTGATGGCTGATGGCCACACTGTGGTGTGCTGACGTCAGCCCCGCCTGAAGCTCTGGGAGCCCAGGCACAGACCAGACGTCCTTCTCAGCATTCCGTGGGCGCCTGGGAATCCACCGTCCCCCGCCCTGCTGGACCCCCATCCCTGCTGATCTCCACGGGCACCCCACTCGCTGTCGGGGGGCCCTCTTCTGATGGAGTTCTAATCGTGATGCTCCTCTGGGCATGGCCCCCCCACAAATGGCCCCCACGGTCAGAGCAGGGATTGAAACAGACCCCCTCCCCCGCCTGCCCGGGGCCGCGGAGCTACCGTAGGGGAGCGTGAGAGAAAATCAGGAGTGGGCGGGGCTGGGGGCACAGGGCTGGGGGTCAGGGATCCTCTCAGGCTCTGTGGGTCAGAGAGGGCCCTCTGCTTCCCTGCACTCAGTGACCAGGAGACTCAAGGTGCTGGTGGGGCTGTGCGGTTGAGCACCATGTCTGCCCCCCGCACAGCAGGAAATGCAGCCCATCCCCCATAGCGCCCAGCAAATCCCGCTGCTTTCTGTCCCCGGAGCGCCTTCCCCTGGCTGTGCCCGTGAGTGCACACATCACACCACCTGCAGAACGCATCGCCCACGCTCTAATTGTAGCAGTTTTGCCTTGGCCGGGCTCGGCCGGCTGCAGCCCGTTACTTGTTCCTTTGCAAATTATGAAAATGTGGAGACACGTCCACCTAGAGATAGTCATCCTCATTTGGGGCGCTCCTTGCAGGGAAATATTTTATGGATGGAATAGGGGAGATGGAGTTCGGTAGTAACGAAATGGCCTGTTGGTTCTTACCTTTGAAGACATTTTAGGAACAGAGAAAAGTACAAAGAATATTCCAACAAGGGCAGGTACCCATTGCCCCAAATTTATAATTATTGTCATGTTCATATTTTCAAGAATAAAACAGAAACATCACAGATGCTGTCAAAAGAACATTCCGTCCCCCCCGCCCCCCGCCCCGTTCTCTGCCTCCAACCCCCAGGGCCACCGCCATCCCGCGTGCAGTGTGAGTACGCTTCCGTCGCCGTCCCTGGGTATTCCTGGTGAGCGAGGAGCACACATCCAGAGGCAGCACACCTCTGGTCACGCAGCTCTGTGGGTTCGGACAGACGAGCGCAGTTGTGTGCACCCCCGACCCGGCCAGATCTCCGGCCCGTGCGCCACCGCTCCTCGGACTCCAGCTCTCGTGGCCACTGATGGGTCTTCCACCCACGGTTCCACGTCTGCAAGAACGCCGCGTGGACGGAGACACCGTGGGCGCCGCAGCGGGCTTCCGTCATCGAGCATGACAATACCCACGTTGTCGCGTGTGCTTACCGCTCCCTGCTACCGCTCACGGCCGAGTGGCACTCCGCCGCTCCCCTTCTGCCTGGGGGTGCGTCTGGGCGGCCGTGAGTGTGGCTGAGTGTGTGCAGGTTTGCGTCCCGGGAGAAAGCCCACTTGCTTGTGATGTTCTTGAGCGTCGCTTGCTGGAGGTGTTGACCATCATGTCAGTGTTCACGGAGGAAATTAGTCTGTAGTTTTCTTGTCTCGTAATGTCTTTGGTTTTTGTACCAAGGTAACCGTCCCTTTGTGAAAGCTGCATTTCAGACAGTTTCTACGGAACTCGTCTTGTTTCTTCCATAAGTATTTGTTCGAATTCACCAGCGAGGCCACTTGAGCCTAAGATTATGTTGTTGGCAGGCTTCTGGCCACCATTGAATGTCTCCGGTTGACACAGAACGATTCAGCCGTCTACTTCTTTGTGAGTTTGGGCAGTTTTGTGGAGAATTTGTCCGAAATGTGTTTAAAGTGTGAGCACGGAGTTGGCGGTGGCCCCCGTGCCCGCACTCCTATCGGAGGGCTTGTGCTGATGTTCCCCTTCCACGTTTGGTGTCTGCGTCCCTCTCTCCCTTCTTGGTCACTCGGACTGGAGGTCTGTCAGCCTTGTTGATCTTTCTCAAAGAAATGCCTTCTGGTTTCGTTGGTTCTTCTCCACCGCGTTTCTCTTCTCAACTGCTTTGATTTAGTCTCTTGCCTTTGTCCCTCGGTTACTCCTGTCTGCTTGCCATGTGCTTCGTTTGCTGAGTGTGGCTTTGGTCGTTGAGGCCTTGAGGGTTTTCTGATGCAAGCGTTTCGGGCTGTACGTTTGCCTGCGAGCACTGATTTGCCTGTGTCCCACGGTGTCAGCACGTGGCTCCCATTTTCATCAAATTAAACCTATTCTCTATCCTTCTTTGTGACGTCCTCTTCAAGCCACGTGTTGCTTTGAAGTGCATTGTTTAGTCCGACTGCTTGGTGGTTTTCCAGAGATCTCTCCGCTCCTGATTTCTAATTGATTTTTGTTGATGAAAAAACATGAATGAAAACATTTTTTTTTTTTTTAATTTCAGTCCTTTTAAATTTCTAAGAACTTGTTTTATGACCCAGCATGTGTTCAGTCCTGGAGAATGCTCTATCTTTTCTTTAAAAATGTCTGCTCTTGGCGGGTGTCTTATAAATGTCGGTGGGGTCACATTGATGGTGCTCATGTGGCTTTCTATGACTTTATGGCTTTTCGGCCCACTTGTCCCATTGGTTAATGAGAAAGGACGGTGACGTCTCCGTGTCGTGAGGGATCTGTCCGTTTCAGGGGTTTTGGTGTCTTTTGAAGCTCTGTTGTTAGGTGCTTTTCCAGTTAGGATTGTTCTGTCTTCTTGGAAACTGACCCGTCACTGCTCCTTCTGGTGGGAATGTTGGTTGTTCTGAAGTCCCACATGGCCTACTTTTGACACAGCTGTTCTGGCTCTTACTCCGTGCTTGGGTGCTGTGTCTTTCTCCACCTTACATTTCAACCTCTTTATTTATCATCTTTATATTTATTAAAGTAAGTCTCTTTTAGGTTGCATATGGCGGCACCTTACTTTTTTAATCCCATCAGAGCATTTCTGGTTTTGATCCGTGGGTTTTGACAATTGATATTGAATGTGATCACGGATGTGTTTGGATGGAAACCTGCCATCTTGGTGCCTGTTTTCAAATTTTCCCACCTCTTCCTTGTCTCCTGTGTTCTCTCTTCTCACGTCACTTGGATTCGGGATGTTCGTTACAATGTCGCTTTATCGCCATGGTTGACCTCTAAGCTCCCATGTGATTTTCTGTAGTGGCTGTCCCAGGGCTCCCAGTGTGTGTGTCTCTGGTTCCTCTGTGTCCACCTCGAGCGACAGGACGCCACTCCGCGTGCGGTCTTCGACATCACGGCAGCGTCGCGCCCTGCGCCGCCCTGGTCGCTCACTGGACCACGAGGATGCCGTAAGCGCACCATGTGTTGCTGGAAGTTTTGCTTCAGTCAGTTGCCACTGAAAATAAGACAACAGTCGCACGTTTTCCTTCACTCTCGTCCATTTCCAGCTACTCTGTAGGTCAGAGTTTCTGTCCAGCATCATATTCCTTGAACTGTAGCGCAGGTCCGGTGCCAGTTTCTGTTTGTCTCAGAAAGTGTTCCTTTTTATTTTTTTCAAAGATGTTCTCACTGCGCTGAGAATTATGGGTCACTTTAGGCTGCAGGAAGCAGTACAAGGAATATCAGTGTATTATTCTTCTAGAAGGTACAAGCAAGTGTCCCCTGGACCCTCTTACCTTCCTGACCCCTTCCCGTGCCCTCATGGTGGCCACAGCCTGGAGACTTTGAGGTGTTTTCTCAATAATTTCTGTGTGAGTTATATTTACATTCAAAGAAAATATGTGGTCTTGTTCAGATCCGTGTTTCTTGTCCCATTCCACCATACTTGGTGCTGTGCTCGGCCCACATCCATCTCCGCTTTTGTGCAGGATTTTATCACGTTTACCCCACATTTTAGTCACGTGTGCGACTGGCCTCCTCTGCTTGGATGCAGGCTTCTAGGTCACGGGGTCATGTGCATCTTGCTGTTCTTCGGTTTTGCTTGGCCGGGCTCCCGTGGCAGATCCTTTGCGCACAGGCTCTCTCCTGTGTGCGGGTCTTCACGCCACGGGAGGCGGTGCCACGTTGTGCTCGGCTGCCCTGGCGAGGGCACATGTCATCATAACTTTGTGCTTCCATCTGGGAAGATGTGACTTCCCTGGTTTTTAATTCCCAGTCGCTTTCTGTGTACGGAGAGGTGCATTGTTCATCCCCGCGACTGTGCTCATGTGGCCCAGTGCCCACTGGGTTCAGGTCAGCCTCTAATGGAAGGAAGTGTGGCCTCTGCACGCTGGGAAGACAGACAGAGGAGCCACATAGAGCCCAGCAGCCAGCGTGGCTGGCTGTCCTCAAGGCCACGGGACATCAGATGAAGAGGAGAGTGTGCGGGGAAAGGACAGCCCCACCTTTAGTCCCTTTATTTGACATTATTACTGGGTTTTAGTGGCCCTGGACTGACAGGTTCTAGTCGCCCTGGCTGTGCTCTCTGGTCCCTGCTAGGCGCCCCCTCCTCCCTGCAGAGGGCGGACCGAGCATCACAGACACGGCCTCAGAAGCCGCTGTCCCTGCGTCTCGGCCATCAGGCTCAGAGCCCACCCGGGAGACGCCCCCAGTGACCCTTTCCCACCCACCCTCGGCTTCCACGGCAGTCAAGTCTCAAGCAGAGAGCAGTCACACCGCGTCCTCACGGGGACAGTCCCGCCTCGGGGGTGGCAATGAGTGCTGCCAGTTTGTGCTCCCCCACGGGGCACCAGCGCCCCTCCTGGACGGCCACGTTCCTCATCAGCTGTGTCCACAGAGAGAAACCACCACCTTTGAATTTGTTCACCTTTGTAAGGGCCCTGCCTTCGGCTGAAGCAGACGTCTGTCTTTGCCGATAACTCAAAGGGGCCATTTCTGGAAAGAACCATGGAAATTCTTCTTGGGAATTTGAGAACACAGAGAGAGACCCCGAAGAAAACGATAATCGCTGATATTCTTACCGTAAGAAGAAACCACAGTTAGCGCTTGAGCATGTTTGCTTCCAGCCGTTTTGGTCTGGGTTGAGACTTTAAGAAGTGACCCAAGTCCTAAATCAATTCTGTAAAGAAGTAAACGTTGTAAAAAAGCAGAGATCCCTTTGACTGTTCGGTCCCACCCCCTCTCGCTGGAGGTGGCCAGTCGGGGTGTCCTCAGTACCGTGCGTGTCACTTACGGCCACGTCCGTGGAGCACGTGAGAGCTTGCTCTGCTTCACACGTGCGCACCGAACGTGATGTGCGAGCGCTCGGGTTTCACCCACGAGGATACACACCTGCGACTGCCGTACCACATCTTATCCCGCCCACGGTGGGCTGGGCTGCTTTCATGTTCTGTGGCGTGTGCCCTGGGCGCACGGCTCAGAGTTCTCGGCAAGTGGGGCTGGCGGGTCGTAGGACGAGCACGTCTCATTTTCAGGGGCTGTGGGTCCAGGGGCCCCCGAGTGCATGGGCCAGGGCGGGTACACCGCGGTCCTCCCCCGGTCTCCGTGCGGCCCACCCAGCCAGCTCCAGCACGTCTGCTCTCTCAGCCCGCTGCTCCTCTCTCCTATGTCCCCAGCTCCGGAGAAGGGGTCTGGTCCAACCAGGGCTGTGTGCTCACCGAGGGGAACCTCAGCTACTCCGTCTGCCGCTGCACTCACCTCACCAACTTCGCCATCCTGATGCAGGTGGTGCCGATGGAGGTAAGAGCCAGGCGCCGGGTCCCTGAGCCCCGACAATGGGCCCTTCTGACCTCAGGCTGCAGGCGGGGGCACACAGGCGGCCCCCACTCATCGGGGAGACCCTGTGATTGGGGACCTTTGTGAAGCTCTACATTTTTTAGCAAAAAAGCCCAAACCAAACCAAAACAAAAACCTTTGCCTCAAGTTCCCTGAGGCAGCACCGTGCAAGCCCTAGGTCCTTCCCGAGGGTCCGCATGCAGAAGGCAGGTGTGCCAGCGTCCTCTGCCTTCAGTCCCGGGCCGTGGAGCCTCTGAGTGGTGGGAGAGTCGGGGGAGAGTCCAGCGCAGCAGGGGGACGTCTGTCTTGCTCTCTAGATGGGGCCACGACCTTCCCTGGAGCCTGGGGTTAAGGGTGGAGGAGGGCCCCTGGTTGGGTTTCTCTGCATTGGAGTACCACCATTTAATCTGTCAGGCTGCGTGGTCGGCCCTAAGAGCTAGACGTTCATTTCATTGGTTTAAGGCAAGCATGGCTTGGAAGAGAAAAAAAAAGTACTCTTTAAAAATGCAGATGCCCCAGAGTGGGATCTTCTCAACTATTATTAGTCCCTGACCCCTGTGTGTGAATGACTTGATTGGCTTCTAGACTCCAGTGGAACTTGAATTTCTGTGCAGAGGGCAGGAGGTTGGGGAGGAGACTGGGGTTGGTCCAGGGATCTCCCAAGGCCCCTGGAAAGCCAGGCCCCTGTAGAGACACATTTCGTTTCATCCCAAACTGTGTTTTAGAAACTGAAAAATCTTATTTATAACTCTGAGTTTTTGGGTCCTCTCGAAGAGTCCGTGGGCTTGGTGATGCTGGGCTGCACAGAACAGGGAGTCAGAGGCTCCCCCCTTCCGCAGAGCTGTGCACCCCACCCCCCCATGGGGGCAGGTGCCCTGAGCTCCCACGCGGTCATGACCCCTCTGCTGGCCAGACCTGCTCCACCTTGTCCCTCCCTTGGCACGTCTACTCCACGGGGCCCGTCTCTTTCCGCACAGACCCCCTGCCCTGGGTTCCGTGGTCCAGGGCACCGCAGCACCTGCCGCGTGTAGGACTGTGGAGTCTTGTCTGGTGTGGCATGACTCCTGGTGGCCCCAGGGTCATCACCTAAGCGTCGATTTCTCATCCACTGCCATTCAACAAGTACTTATCGGCACCTACCCCAGAGGTTCAGCTGTAAATAAGAAAAGCAATGACGTTTTGCTTTTGAGGAGTTTATATTCCAGGGGGAAAGACAGGTAACAGATTAGCAAACAAATGGGTGGTGTGGTCAGGGGAGCAGCAGAGGAGAATGTTCCAGGCCAAGGAACAGCAGATGCCAGAGGCAGGACGGGGCTTGCGGTGTCCCGGTGGAGGCCGCGGGCGCGGAAGGCTCCGGGTGGAGGTGGCGAGCAGAGGAGGCTCCTTCATCTGCAGCCTGTGCTGTGGGTCTTGTGTCTGGCCTGTGAATTGCTTATATAGACTCCAGAGGGGAGTTCCAGGCTACCCCAGGAGGATGGGGAGCGGCATCACCCGCCCCTTGCGCTCCCCACGCAGACACACCAGCACCGTGCACAGGTGGGAGCTGGGCTGGTCCCCTTTGCTCTGCTGGTGATGAAGCTCCGGGGGATGGGGCTGTGCCGACGTCCCAGGGCTCGTCACTCGGAGTCGCCAAGGGGAGTCCTGGCCACGCGTGGAACGGAACTGGGCACCTACAGGTCAGGAGTCTCTCAAGCGAGAGCATTCAGAGCTTTGGACGCGTGGTGCCGTGTCGGGCTTGAGGGGCACGAGCCATCGGCTTGCTTGTTGGCCCGCGGGGTTCATCTGCCGTGACCCCCAGCTGGTCCCAGCGGGAGGTACGTGTGGGCAGCAGCCGCCCCTCAGGTGATGGGCACCGCTTCCTGTCTGGTTCCCGCCCCCGGCCCTCTGTCACCCCTTTCTCTCCTGTCCCCCTACTCTTCTGCCCGGTGCTGCCCAAGTCTGGCTTTGCACCGTTAGCTGCAGGGAGGTCAGGGTGGTGGGCTGGTGCCAGTGGTGTGGGGACAGTGAGGTGGGATGGAGTAGAAGGTCCCAGAGGGCCCCGAAGTTACCTGGGCTGCATGGGGTGCCCTCTGAAATCCCACCTGTTCCAGGTCTCTCCCCACCTCCTCTTGTCCCTGTTCTGCACAGACATCTGTCACCAGGGGTCAGGCTGGGGGAGTTGGGGACACCACCGCCATGCGGCTCATGCCTCCGTCTCTGCCTGTCGTGCCAGGGCCTCAGCCCACGTGCCTCCGTGTGTCCCTCTGGGTGCCACGTGGGAGTCAGCGACCTGCCTTAGGTGTTCCAGTGGGAAAGGCTGTGACCCGCAGGATGTATGTGCCGGTAGGGTGGGGACAGGCCGAGGGTGCGGTGGCCGAGACAGCGAGGCCCAGAGAGGGGGATGGGCTGGGGTCAGTCATTCATCCAGCAACGAAGCATTGGATTCGAGGTGATGACCCGGGGCCTTTAAGGCACTGCTCTGGGCCTTGGGAGCAAAGCAGCTGACACATGACAGTGCGTGGGACCCCAAGTGAGGAGCAGGCGCTCCGCACTTGAGAGCGCGCTCTGCCCTGTGGCGGCGGGGATGCGTGGAAGCCACGGGGGCAGGGCGAGGAAGGGCGCGGTCCCCAGGGCCTTCCCAAGGAGGAGGTGCCGGTGAGTGACCTCAGGGAGGAAGGAGCAGGGGCACACATCGACAAGGGGCCGGGGGGCTCTCGGGAGAGGTGCTGGGGCTCAAAGCCAGAGCTTCAGACCCAAACGTTGGGGGCAGAGAGGCTGTCATGGATGTGGGGGAGCAGACCGCCTATGAGCACTGGTGCGGGCAGGACCGACATCTTCCCGTCGCAGGTGAGCGCAGGGGGACTTGCCCAAGGTCACCTGGGGACGGAGCCCAGCTTCGGCTCTGCTCTCTAGATCCTAAAGCTGGGGCTGGTGCCGAGCCTCCAGATGGTCCTCTGGGTCCTTTGCACACAGAGAACGAAGTCCGCGCTGTGGGCTCTGCAACGTGGAAGGGGCTGCTGGGTGGTGGATGTGGGCAGGAAGTTGGGTTTGGGATGTTGGTGGGACAGGGAGGAAGGGAGGCAGCTCAGTCCAGTAAGCTAAAAAAAAACCAGTCACAGAGCATTTACGATGCAAATCTGTCAGCGTTCCATGTAGGTGACACCAGATTTGGACAGTCTGTGGGTGTCTTCGTGGAAGCAAATCATATCTACTCATTGCCAGGAAAGGTGATTTGAAAATGATTCAAAATTACCATGCTAAAAATGAACGTTCTCAGGAATATTTAAACAAAGACAGCAGTTATCACAAGTAGATGCCGAATCTGAGGCTCAGTTCATTTAGTGAGAACAGCCAGAATGGCTTCCCCCATCCTCCCCAGTGCTCTGGGAGGGGCTGTCCTGGTCCAGGGTCTCTCCTCGGAGCTCACAGCTGCACTCCCCTTCCCTCCGCGGGTCTGCCCTGGCCCACACCCCAGCAGGGCCGCTGTGGAACCCCTCTGCGTGGAGCCTGGGGTGGCTGGGCTGGGACGTGGAGGAATGTCCCAGGCCTCGCTCTGCTCACTCTTCTCTGTGGGAGGGAGTGTGACATGGCCCCCCGCCCCCAGTCGGCAGCAGTGAGGGGCTCAGCCAACCACAACCCCAGGGTGGGGGACGCCACGCTTTACACTCCTGCTACAGAGAGTGGGAAATAGGCCTGGACCTCCTCCCACCGAGTGCTGACCCCACAGGGTCCCCCGGCGGCTGGTTCGTGGGCCCCCTTGACCCAGAGCACCGGTCACCCCGGCTGTGGCCAGCGGCTCTCGTGGTCATTACTCCATCTGACCCTAATTTCTTCTTCTGTTAGGAACCATTTCCGTTAACATGGTAGCTGATACGCGTAGGTTTTAAGTGGGAGGTGGTGGGAAGGGTAGTGAGTGGAAGGCAGTGTCTCCCACCATCTGCTCTCCTGCCGCCATCCCCTGTGAAGCCACACCTGTTCCAGGGTCTCCCCTCCTCCCGGGAATGTTCCCCTCTCCACACGGGGTGCCACGCTGTAAGCAGGGCTGGGGCCCCCTCCCGTGTGCAGTGGGTCCCCTTGCACACCCACGCCCCTGCCTCGTCCTGGCCATGCCTGCTGCCCCCTCAAGACCGGGAGCCTTGGCCCTCAGGGGGCTTGGCTGGTCACCTGCTGCTGGGCACTACGCTGGCTCCCGTCCATGGCTAGTTCCGGCAGGGGACCTGGGGGCACTTACACTGCTCTCTGGGGACCCTGTTCCAAGGTACACCTCCAGCAGTGGACAGGGACGAGTAACTCTGTTGTCAGCGTGAATCACAAAAACACGGCTCCACCACTGGGGGCTTCTAACTCCCCGGGGTAAGTACGTTTCAGAGCTCGTGCACTGATGCCCGTGGATCTGGGGCCACCATCATGACCAGGTGTGCCAGCCGGACACCTCTCCGAAACTCACTTTCTGCACCTTTAAAATTTGTGAACCCTGGGCCCCTGGGTGGCTCAGTCAGTTAAGCGTCTGCCTTGGGCTTAGGTCATGATCCCAGGGTCCTGGGATCGAGCCCCGCGTCAGGCTCCCTGCTCAGCAGGGAGTCTGCTTCTCCCCTGCCTGCCAGTCCCCCTGCTTGAGCTTGCACGCTCTCTCTCTGTAGCTCTCTCTGTGTCAAATAAATAAAATCTTTAAAAAAATTTTTTTAAAAATTCGTGAACCCAAATTGAGTAAGAATCCTAAGAAATTAGTTTTCTCCTATTGGATAAAATTATCTTTAGCTTAATTTTGGAACAGTATGTTCCAAAGGAACATTAAGGAAGATAGTAGGAGAGACTTTGCACGGCATAGAGCAGATCCCCGTGAAGCTCCCATGGCCAAAACAACGTGGTGTCCATGTAAATCCAGCAAGGCAGACCGTGACTTTTCAGGACACCCATGAGGATCTGCATCATAGAATTCAAAGAATCGGAAAGCCAGATAATATGTAAGAGTGTAAAGTAAAATG